AACAACCGTACTGACATCGGTTGCTTAGCCTTACGTCACCCTTCCAAGGAACTTCAGGAAGGCGCCGCGTAACACTAATCACGCATTACTTATTCCTACATAATTAATTCACGCATTACTTATTCCGTATAACTAATCTATGTATAACTAATACCTGCATAACTCTAACTCACAACCAAACGACCCCTAATTATACACAGTTATACATAAATCAACGTATATATATTTATATATGTCAGCTATATTTAATTTAAGAGATTAAGTGCATGATTATTTGAGTTAATTCTTTTTTTCGATAACATGATTGAATGAAGCAAAAATAAAGTAGTACCGACTAATAACACAATTTGCTAGATAGAAAGAAAAATAAGGAAGAACAACGCGTGAATTTCACGAAATTTAAAAAGTCGTTTCAACCAATCATTTTAAACCAAACAAAAATGGCAAACGAAACAAACTGCAAGGAAAGGTCGGCAGACTTATAATTTAACAGAAGCTTATGATTGGATAATATATTCTTAAATGCTACACAACTACCCCCCAAAGTCGCTAACAAGGGTCCCACTATTGCCGCACGTTTACTAAAATAGCATGAATTCAAAAGTTTATCTTATGCCCATTTTACACACTAAAATAATACATCCACCTCAGCCATGACCAAGTGTCAGATAATCAGTCACTTCAATATTTATTGAACTTTGAAGCCAACCCCTTAATATTAAATTAATAATATACGTGTCGTTTAGTATAACCAATGGTGCGTTAGATTCTCTATTGTTTTATTACATACTTTTAATTATTTTAGCATTTTGTCTTCATTTATAAATAGTTGTACTACTAAGAATTGAGATTGGTCAACAACTGTACTTTGCTTGTTAAAAGGAAAAAAGGTAGAGTCTTTTTGTCTTTCTTGATTTGGGTATAGAATGGAGGAAAAATATGAGCTTTTGAAAGAACTTGGTGCTGGTAATTTTGGAGTGGCAAGGCTAGTTAAGGACAAGAAGACAAAGGAGCTTTTTGCTGTCAAATATATAGAAAGAGGGAAGAAGGTAAGTCTACTTTTTTCAAAAAGGTTACTTTTGTAATATTATCTTTTTGTTTGTAGATACTGTCATTATTTTTTCACTTTGTTAGGTTAAGGATTGTGCTGGATTTGCTCATTTGGTTGATATTTCTAGTGAACTCTTTATTTGATTAATTTTGAAATTTGTTTCATTTATTCTTCCATGTAAAAACTTGAACTTGATTTTAGTTTGGGAAGATTTTATACGCCAGTTGCCTTTTCTACTTAACTTTGGCAAACAAATTAGGTGGCCTTTGTTTGAAGTTTCTGAATTTGCAAACTCAGTTCTAGCAGTACCGTAGCAATGGTTATCTCTTTTGATTCTGTTAGCCTGATGTAAAAGTTATTTTGTTCTTTTCTTGTCTCAGATTGATGAAAATGTGCAGAGAGAAATTATAAATCATAGATCGTTGGGACATCCAAACATTATCAGGTTTAAAGAGGTAAATACTTCCTTTATACCTGTTTGTTATGAAACTGAGAAATGATATCTTCCCTTGTACCTGTTTTTGTAAGCAGATTGTATATTTCAATAGTTCTGTTTATGCAAGAGGGAGAGCATATTAAGTAATTCCGTGCAGTTTTAAACTAAAACTTCAACAAACAATCGACGTGTCCTTTTGTAGTCTATGCAATTGCTACTCCAATTACATAAGCCTTTTTTGAGTAACTGTAATATTGACTCTTATAATGATTTTATGTGGAATGTCAAATGACGAGTTCATGGTTCTTAACCTAGCGGCGGAGCCCGAAATTTTGCAAAGGATGTTCAAGGTTTACTATTCTTCTTGTGCCGAGGGTCTATCGGAAATAGCCTCTCTACCCCCAAGGTAGGGGTAAGGTCTGCGTACACACTACCCTCCCCAAACCCCACTTGTGGGATTATACTTGATTGTTGTTGTTGTGTTTTGATGGTTTACTATATATATTTGTAAAAAGTAACTCTTGACCTATATACTCCGTATAATTTTCTAATGAAGGGTGTTCAACTGAACACCTTTCGCAGGTTACGCCACTGCCTTAACCTTTAGTTGGAGCTCTTTGGTTGATCCAATTTTTGATGTTAGTGGGAATAATTGGATTGACTGTTTTCTTGCGCACACTATCTGATGTTGTCCGATGATGATTCTAGAATGCTGAGAGCTCCGCAATCTCATACACCAGTTTATACTTGATAAGTCACAGTTCTATATTCCATTTAGCACCATTAGTCTTACCTTAACATGCTGATTATGTGTTCAGTTTCCCTGCATTTCGCGCTGTTTCATGCAATATTTGATGCTGACGCTAAAAGCAACTAATCTATAATAGAGTTCAGAGCTGTATCTGTTGAGGTTTTATTTTAAGATGTAATATTCTTAAAATGAGGGTGAATGGGAAATGGAGG